ATCTACAATTTTCATATTATTGATGACGGTGTGGTCTGTTTTTGGTGTACTGACGTCATCTGTTACGAGTATACTCGTCCATCGACAACCAGATTTACCTCATCTTTTGCCCTTCTCCAATTGGATTTTTGAAGGCATATTACCATCACCCTGCCTACACGAGTTTACAGGTTTATTAAGTTGTGTATCTGGTATGTTACTGTAAGAATCCTGGATGCCAGGGACATTGCCGTACTTAACTCGTCTCAGCACTACTTTATGCCTGCCTACACACTTCGTTATACAGATTATTGCTTGCGACCTAGTCTTCTCTTCTATTGCAATTTGGTTATGCAAGATGTGTAACTTATAAAAAGCGCTAAAAGGATGAGAGAAAAACTAGTGGAGATAGATTACCATCAGACACTTGGTCAGCAACTTTAACTGAAAGCTCTAAGTGTATATATTTAAACAAAGGTAGACATTTCTTAGTGAATAATCTCCAAAGAGAACCAAAGACTATGTCAGATGGACAATCCAGACCACTATGAAACGCCAGCAGGTAGTAATTCGTAGTTGTTGGAGGTGATGGTTGTATTGTAGGAGATAATTTTTACGTCCAGTTGGTTTATTGTCCCGTGTTCAGTTTTAAAATGGTTGGAAGCTTCTCCTTGTTGGTTAACACCGTAGTGCTCACCTGTTTGCCAGAGATCAACGCTGCACGACGTCATGATGAAATTAAAGATTTGACCAGTAATGAAGAGCGACGAAAAAGCACACAAAACCCAAACTACATGGAAACTGTAACATAGGTGTGATCTCCAGCTGACGCATCCATTTTAGTTTACTCTCACTCACCTTTAACATCCCATGTGGAGTTGTGATAGACAAATTTAAATAAATCATGGTCCAGCCATCTCAGTTTGGTGCCATATTTCTTATCTTGAAGGCGGCGTTTGACTCTGTCGATCGTGAGGTGTTGTGGCAGTGTCTGGATGTGAAAACAGTACCGAGAAAGTGCATAGCGCTAATCAGATCTGTCTACTGGAACTCACGCAACCGTGTCAGGGCTTACCGAGGGTTGTCATCGGAATTGGCGACAACTAGTGGTGTCCGCGAGGGATATCCACTGTCACTGTTTCTAGTTAACTTCGTTATAGATGTACTAATGGACATGATCCTAGGTATCTGTGACTTCAAAGGGATGGATCAATTCACTGGAGGTCATCTAGTCGACTTGATGTATGCAGACGATATTATCCTGTTAGGTGAAGACGCTGACGAAATGCGGAGTCTTCTCAACAACGCTTTGAGCAGGAATCTGAGTATGTTTGGCACCCGTCTTCCACCTGTCAGGTATGAGATAATGCTCTAGGACTTGTCTGCTGTTAGTAATCCCAGTTTAACGATAGGGAGCGAAGTGGTGGAATATGTCAAACACTTCACTTTTTGAGGGAGTTGCATCAACCCAAACGGGTTGGTTGCTGACGAAGTCTCATCTCGGATACGGAAGGCCCATTTGGCACTGACTGTCAAGATATCCGACTACCTATCAAAGGATGAGTATACTTTCCACATTCCGTCCTGTCTTCTCATACGGCTGTGAGACATGGTCGTTGAAAGTACGAGAAATGAAGCGATCAAAAGCGTTTAGTCGTAGGTATCTTCGAAGCAGTGTTCGTGTTTGGTGGAATCATCGTGTGAGTAATGTTAAGGTCAGATGAAGGGTGCGAGGCAAGATAGACAAGTCGATTGATGAGGTTGTGGACATTCATCGATTGACATGACTTGGACATGTACTGCACATGCTGAGCCACTGCCTACTTCGGCATACCATGCTAGGGGAAGTTGGATTATGTTAGAAGATTGTCCAGGGTGGTCAAACCAAGACGTGGCACTAGTTCATGAGTTCTCTGACTGTCGGTCTGAACCAAGGAGTGAGATTTTCTGACTATGATCCCCAAGATCATAGAAATCAGTGGTTCAGGACTCTTGGTGACATGGTTGGTAATGGACCACAGCGGGGGAGATGTATCCACTCTTTATCATTTTTTAGAGCTTGAATATTCGCAATAACATTTATCTTCAGATTGCTTATTCTCTGACAAAAAATTTTCTACTTTGATATCAATCTTTTTCTGTTCAATTGCTCACACTACTGTGAAGTGTGGTAATTGAATCGGTGCACTTGCGTGCGAGGTTTTGCGTTGATTTTGTCGCCGTCAGTCAGTCATTGCCAAAATATCATCGACTGAACGGCCTTCCTTCCCTAGAACTTGTATTAAATCCAACTTTGACTGAGTGGTGATTTGACCAAGCACCAGCAGTGATTTGATTCTACATGTGAACAAATAAATTCTTACTTCGGCCTTCAGTATTCTTATCTTACTGTCTTATCCCTGAACACTATCATAGGTTAGGACAGAAGTAACTATTGTGCAATATGCTTACTCGTTGATGGACACTCAGTGCATCGTTGGCCTGAAGATACATACCGAACGGTCATTCCGTGTCCTTATCAAAACTCCACTTCGCTCCAATTGTCAACATACATTTATCTAAACGTTTAGAAAGTCTGAACGTATATCCGAATTATTTGAATACATGCATATTCGTAACTCTATTAACTGATCTGCCTCAGCTCTAAGTGTATGTCTCATGTTGATGATTGCATCACCACTTGTGGTTAGGACCTTGTAGTCTCTTTATCTCGTCTATCATTGTTTTTCATGTCTTACACTTACTCGTACACCAATTACTTTGCACAAAATGTTTAGTTATAAGTGATATGATCCGTAATAGAAATGTTCAACGCTCATTCATTCTAAGAATAAACTACAAACACATTTCGTTTTTATGATTTTTTATGCCCTGGTTATGCTATTGTATCACATTTTTACTCAAAGGGATCATTTCTTGTGACAATGTATCTGAATTCCAAAAAGCATAGCTAATGTTCCTATTCTTTAGGGTCATGAATGGTTGTTAGACGGTTGTCGAGTTAATATACCCCTACCTTGACATTCAGTGGTACGGGAAGTTGAATTAGATTAGAAAAAAACTCAGGGTGGTTAGACCAAAACCTGGTATCAGTCAGTGAATTCTCTGACTGTTGGTCTGAGTGGTATGGGGGAGAAGTAGATTGCGTGGCTGGGGTCTTCAAGCCGAAGTGAATCAGTGGTTGAGTACTCTTGGTGATATAACTGGAAATAAGTCACAATGGCGCAGATCTATTTACTATTGACGTCTTCTAAGGCTTGAATATTTGCACTATCCATTGTCTTCAGATTGCTTATCCAATGACAAAACTCTGTTTACTTTGACATCAGTTTTTTCTGTTCGCTTGTTTTTTATCTACTACTGCGAAGTGTGACAACTTGAACCGACGCACTTATGTGGGAGGTTCTACGTTAATTATGTCTGTCTGTCTGTCTGTTCTAGTGTTTTACCCCGCCTATTTCGACCGGGGTTATCATAAGCCCCTTATACAAGTGTGACTCAGCTTAGTACATAGATCTGTTTGAGTTGAGTTTATTTTAAATCTATTCCTTAGTTCCGTTTCAGTTTTTTTGTTAATGCCTAGTAAGTAACGAAATACCATGATGCTTACACTATGGTTTTTGATGCCTACTTCCTGTGAATTCGATGGTGTAGCGACAGCATTAATTCTCAGAGCAAATGATGCACTACCTTACTAGATATCAGATGGCAGTTGTCTGTGCGCTGACTGGTCGAATGGATGTTCGAACTAGGAATGAAGATGACATCAGTCAATTCCTATTTTAATCTCCATTTACATACACGATGGCTGCAGTTTGGAAGATGTAAACGATGACTCATATGAGAAGCTTAGTTTTGTTCTGTAAAGTAAAACGCCTAGATGTAATCGTACTGGTCGGTGGCTTTACCTCTCAAGTAAGGAAACTGAGTCAGTCTGGAAGACATATCGAAAAACCAACAACGTTGACCGTCCCCTACAATCTTGTTCTGAAAATCAGTTATTTCTGACCAGGATCATTCTTAAATATGGGAACATTGCCTTACTTGATACCCACTGAAACCAAGCCAACAGTGGACACAAGTATTATCGTATCACACGGTAGTTCACCTAGTCCTATTTAATGATTATGAGACAGTCGTTGAAGGTGGAAGATATGAAGAGGTTGCAGGTCTTCGACCATGGGTGTCTCCATAGCATTTCTCATATGTGGTGTAGAACACCATAAGCCACCATTTTGACCAAGTCATCCAAAATGTTACCAAGTTGGAATATAGTTAAACCGACATTTGGCACTATTCCATAGCCTCCTACAGTTGGTATGAGCCGTATAAGAAAGTGTAGCTACGTGGCAGAGGTTCTCAATACGTTAGTAGTAAGTAGTTAGAAACTCTTGATGACACAATTCGAAGTCAATCACAGTTGCCAAATTTCGGACACTAATGGTCTTCGTTTATTTACTCCCTTTTATCGCACACACCTTTGTCCACTTCAATATCATTCTTCTTCTGTTCACTTCCATTCTGTATTGTTGTGAAGTATAACAGCTTGAAGTGATGGACTCCTATGCATAGTTGTACATTGGTCTGTTTGTCTGTAATGTTCAGTTTGCAGTTGGCTGGATTAAGACAATAAGCAAATCTACAGAGAGCCTTACTTGATATAAGCTCTATATTTTCGCACTTTAATAGATGAAATATTACTGCTAATGGACTGATTTGATCGTAGAATATCGTATATCTGTAGACTATGCTGTTTCAGATCTCAGGGCAATAGTGCAATTAAAACGTTTTAGTCAAAATTATATATATATATATATATATATATATATATATATATATATATATATATATATATATATATATATATATATATATATATATATATATATATATATATATATATATATAAATTGTGCAAGACGCGTCAACACCTACCATTTACTCGCAAACGCCCCAAACACCTGCACTTTTTTTCGTTAAAGATGAAAATAATCTTGTTTTTCTTAATTCTAATTTTTTAGTGCAGAAAAGTTTGTTTCGAAGTCAATAAGCATGGCTCGTCAATCACGTTCACTTGAATCGAAGAGAGTGGTATGATCTTTGAGTAATGCTTTAAGTATATATTACAAATCAACAGACAGCTGAATTATTCACTTTAACTTACGGTGCTCTTGTTGCCAATATCGTTAGAGATTTTGACACAGATATAGAGATTAATGATCAGCTGGATAAAATGTAAGTTGGCCTGACTGGAATTATCATAGTTTCTCTTCTTTTTTTTAAACACCAGTGGATTTAATATTGGTTTAAAGTTGGTAGAAGATTATTTGGCACGTGGAAATCCTGGTCGCTGTAATGATTTTAAAGAGACAGCTGAAGCGATTGCAAAGGTAATTAAAGAATTCAGCAATTTATCGTTACTTTCTGTGGTTGCCATATTCTGTTTGCTATCAACATCTCTAAACAGCTAGATAAAAACTGGTACTTCCAAACGACAGCACTGTTTGAACTGATATTTTTGTACTGTTTACAAGGCAGAAAATTGATTAGTTTCGAGTGACCGTAGAGCATAGTGGATATCTACCTAACACTATCATACTACTCCCTTTTTGGAAATTGATAAGAAATAGCCCAAACAGAAAACATTTTAAATTATGAACTGTTAAGGTAAAAGTTTTTGACTTCAATTTTTGTTCCATGTTACTGTGTAGTCGGGAAAGCTGTATTAGACAATTTATCCTACACTTGACCAATCAAAATGAGTTATTAGACTTTTGACCTAGTGGTTTTATTTGTTCATGAAAACTGTATATACATGATGGATTTTTGTTGAATAAAGTCTCTTCTTCACAGTCACAGGCCGGTCTTTGCCTTTGAATTTTCGTGGTTGGGGAGAACAGTCGCTATTCGTATCCACTCCAAGTATCTCATTGCATTAATATCATTTGTGTATTTATTATTTTTCAATCAATCACTTCAGTATTTTTAGTCCAAAGTGTTTCATTTGTCAGTAAAGAACTAAATCACCAGCGACACAAAAGTTTAAGAGAAAGGCGGCATTCAAAATTTTTACTGTCGATTTTGTACATCTCTTTTCCAGAGTGAGAATGGTTTTCATTGCAAGGAGATAATGTTTTACTGCTGTCAATTCACTCTCTATTTGACGCTGCCATTGTAATAGGATTTTAAGAAAGGAACTTTCCCACCTGCATATAGGCTTCCTGAGTCGTGATCGCTGGTTTCAAACCCAACCGCGGTCCAAATTTTCATTTCACCTTCAATCATCACTCAGTATTAAATATTATATAGCATAATATGGTCGCTTATAAATCCAAGCTGTTGCATCTGAATTCAGCACAGTAAGGTGGAAATTAGAACAAGACATATAAGCGAAGAGTATTGTTTTCAATTAGATCCTCTTCAGGCTTTAACCTAATACAAATAGCTTAATATACATAAAGAATTAAACCAATCATGTAGATTTGTCAGTTGATGTGATAAATGTTTTAAAATATCGATGGTGATAATGATACAAATAACAATAATAACGATAATAATAATGAAAGTGATAATGTTGACTAAAGCACTTGCAATAAACATGATAATGATGATGAGAACCAAGAAAGCAGGATGAAAATGTAGACACTTCACCGATAATCGAAGTGAGTCAAAAGCTTGGGAAAATAAAAGTTATGTAATACCGAAGGACGAGGTAGGTGGATAAACAAAGTCTAGACAAGTGCAGTAAGTATATGAAAGGGGTGAAGAATAGGGAAGCGGTAGGAAAAATACTCAATGATAAGTTACTAACTAAGTATTCCCTGGCCAAGTGAGGGATAAGGGATGTTGAAATTTCTTTTGGATACAAAGACTAGGCTTGCTAGCTTGAATCCCCACAGCTTCTGCTATGTGTAAAAGACGAGTTCGAAAGATGAGATGGTATGGGGTGAATAATCGTGAAAGCATTTTCCTTATCTACCAAGTAAGTTGACCACTATCAACGAGGTGAGATAAAACCGAACTTCCGGTGTATTTTATCTGTTGCTTTCTTAACCATGATGGTAGATGCTGTATCTACCTACCTCGTCCTTCGGTATTACGTAATTTTATTTTCCCAAGCTTTTGACTCACTTTGATTATCGGTGAAGTGTCCACATTTTCATCCTGCTTACTTGGTTCTTATCATCATTATCATGTATATTGCAAGTGCTTTAGTCAACGTTATCACTTTTATTGTTATTATTATTATTTTCACCATCGATATTTTAAAACACTTATCACACCAACTGATATATATTAAGCTATATGTATTAGGTTAAAGCCTGAAGAGGATCTAATTGAAAACATTATTGTTCGCTTATGTGTCATGTTCTAATTTACATGATGGGAATTTTTAAAAGATGAAAATTAACAATAAGAAACATATGCAAATCAAAATAATACCAGAAATTGTAATAGGAAGGTACACGATAAAGAGAGAACTGAATGAAAGGTGTAAATATGTATGATAATAAGCTTTTGAAGATTTATTCAAAGACAAGGTGTTGATGCATTTGCCTCGATGCAGTCGATTATGAACTGGATCTCTTAAAGTCTTTAACCATCGATTTCTGTTATCTGATGATAGACGTCATGGAGGAGGTATAGTTGACTCAGACTAGCCTTTTTTCCCAATTTTATGTTACGTCATTCAAGATAACGGTTAGCAGTAGACGTGAATCAATCCAGTTAACGAAGGCTTATGACCATCATATCAATGATTCTATCTGGAGGTTTGTGGAGGTTTATTAATTGACTTAAGGCTGGGATTCATCATGGACTGGACATGGCTCAACGGTAATATGCTGGTCATAGAACCTGAAGGTTCTGGCCTCGATTCCTGGCTGGGCGTGGTCGTGATTGTGCACTGCTGATGAGTCCCATACTAGTATGATGAAACAGCTGTTGAATCCTCCCAGTTTTACAATGTTTCTCCAATGATGAATTCCAACCTAATATGAATGATTTATTCTATTGAATTTATCTGTCCGCTAGCTATCAAATATGTACTATTTATAGATGTTTATTAGTCAATTTTTAACTTTTATATTTTCTGTTTATAGGGTTTTAAAATTTTTTTAGGTATAACCCGAATGTTTGTAAATTCAGTGCCACTGGTGATGAGTTTAGTCTTGTGTTGGAGAGTAATCCACTAACTGAATTTGTTGATCTTCCTGCAGAACATCAAAATCTCCTTTATTCTAATGTACTTGCTGGGGCTATACGTGGTGCTTTACATAACGTAAACTATTTATTACTTATATTCATCAATTTGTTTTTATTTCTCATATTTTAAATTGTCTATACTTCTTGCGTTGTATTCAAAAGTTATGAAAAGAGTGTTAATTCACTTGACTGTATTATCTGATGAATGATTTCTTGCTAAGATACCTTGCTTCCTTTGTGTCTCTCTCTCTGTTAGAGGCAATCCTGTCAACAATAACCGATACAATATCTGTGTCACACAGTAGTTTTAATAATTAAGTGAAATACTACATTCAGAAGCTGTATCTATATTGACCAGTAGTAGGTTTCACTGTCACATTCAGAGTAGTATTGAAAGTGAATAGTCTTTTGGTATCCTATTTTATTGTTTATAATTTCCCCTTGTTGACTGGACTAAATTGATTGATCACTATTGGCATATGGGCTGCTATGCTAATGCCTCGATATTTACCTATAGTTTCAGCTTGGTAGTAATGATGGTTAGTGACTGATAGCGGGATACAGGACAAAGTTTCGTCCTATTTAGGACTAATCAGTTGCAACTCGAACTTACCAATTTGGTGCAATCAACTACGGGGGTGTACAAGAATTGACTATCGTGACTTACTAGCTTAGTGGATAACGCTTTGTCGTTGGAAGCAATCGTTCTCGGGTTTGAGTCTCAGTAAGAACAACACCACTCACTGGGGTGCTGCAGGTACATTCAGCTAACTTGGATGTAAATTTTTTAATGTTTCCTCAAATTCACTGTCTGAGTAGATCATTCTCAAGGTCACCTAATTAAAACCTATATATGCACATAGATTTCAGCTCTGAACATTATCAATTCCGAGCGATAATCAACGCGTTCACTTGCTTTCTGTTTTATCATGTTCTCATTTATTAGTGATTGGATTGGCGATCACATTAAAGCTTCTAGAAATTGGTTACTAGTGTATCTGTCTGCGTGTCTTGTATTCAATTGTATCAGGCTATGGAGTTTGAAAGATACCTAGTACTGCAAAATTGACCCAAGAATTAGCAAGGAGTGTTTGGTGCCTAAGCAACTACTCGTGGAAGGACATATGTGTAGCATATATGTATTTAGTTTGTGTGAATGAGAGTCATACTGAGTTACATTGATGCTGATAATTGCGTTGATATTAAACCGCAACTCATTTACGACAGTATTTAATGGAGTGATTCTGACTTCAGTCTTAAAGTGTACATCTTGCGTTTATCACAGAGGACGAAGTATGAACATCATAAGACCTATCAACTCAAGTCTGTACCATAAAATCTCGATCATGAAAGGCTTAATTCCACTGAATTAGTTTCTGCACTTTAACAGAAACTATAATGCACAAGAATCTCCAGTCAGTCTACCACATAATTTGATGAACTAGTTTTGTTTACCCTTAAAGTGTACTTTGATTGATCATAGCCGACTAACCAATTTACTATTTTCTAGTCGAAAGGGCTAATCGAATTCTGTTCGTCAAGTTAGCAGTGTGCTCATTAAGCTAGAGGGTTTGTATCATCACTGTTCACTTTGCACGAGGCTAGGTGCTCAAAGATAAGTAAGTAAGGAGTACCTAACTCAGGTTTCTTTGTTTATTACTTGTCAGTTAGGCTATCTTTAACATCGAGGGGATTGTTCATTTCATTTTCAATCTAGTACTGCCACATCTTTTTTTAATCATGATTCACATCCCACATTGCTTTTTTCTAATTTATGTTAAGGTGCAACTTGAAGTAGAAGCTCGATTTGTTCAAGATCAGTTACGCGGGGATCAAATCAATGAAATACGCGTTAAATTTATTCGTCGTTTAGAGGAAGTGATTCCAGGAGATGATTAGTGCATTTTGTTTTTTTTTAACATTCAAAGGCGAATCGTTTATTTACTTAATTGATATGCTCTGTATTTTTATTTGTATTATTATCCCTTTACTAAGTTTTTAATTTCTGTAATAAAAGCGAAAAATGATGGCTGTGCAAATAAATTTTTTTTTCTCTCCCTTTAAAACGTTTTCGCTTACATTTTTTAAACTACTTAAATATGATTTAGTAGTAAACGTTGTTTTTATTAGTTTTCAGCCATGTCCATAAATTCACAGTACACGCATACCACGACACCAATCCTGGAAGCATGGCTAATTAAAGCTCTTCGTCTTATACATTCAAGAAAGGCTTCTGATCGTGATAAATTGCGTAAGTTGTATAGAGAAGCTTGTGAAAATGAAGCACAAGTTATGCATATGACTATTGCTGAGCTTTGCGTGAACCTCGTGAAGTTGTTGCTGCAAGTAGTGAATCTACTGAAGTAAGTTGTTTACAGTTCTTATGCGAACCAAGTATTCTTTCTTTTATTTTCATTCACATTTATGCTATCGGTTTCTACTACTAGTGATAAGTCTAACTTTGTGTATTCTTTTAGAGAAAATATCTATTTAAACTTCAATGATTTTGTGTATGTTAGTGCGGTGTCGAAACGATTAGCAATCATCGGTGCTTTATGCTGTTTTATCAAAACAGCTGTTTACTATTAACAATCACAGAACAGAATAGCGGTTACTGATAAATACTACTTGTTTAACAAATTTTAGCCAATAAAGCGAACTGTTCATGCTTAGTCCATTCGTAATCGAGCATAAAGACGTAGGAATGTTATATTTTTCAACATTTTATATATAAATTAAACTGTGAAAACTCTAGAATTTTTAAAGGTAGTCATTTTTCACACTGGAAATTTGATTGTGCTTTTAACTATCCTAATGAAGTGGGCTCTGCTGACCAGAATGGACATAAGTAGTATATGTTGAGTGGGCAACAGAAATCATAGGGAATTACCAGCGATAGGTAAATATTCTACCCGGAGAAACGCAAAAGACAATGTCGGCGTATCATGTGAGCAAATCAAGATCGAAGCAGAAAAGGAAATGAAGCACATTGTGCAAATGACTGTCTTAGTGCAAGGTGTACTATGTTTGATGACTACTGTACAAGATATCAATAATACACATTCCTTGCTGCATCTTAGTGTTCTCATTCCCCTACATTAGTAGGAACAACTTGAAGTTACATTGTTAAGTGCATCGGAGCAAGTTTCAGTTCAGTGTTAAAGATGCTATCCTGAAACTGTGATATTTTATATAACTAGTTGACTGGTCTCATAAATTTGTCAATTTATGCTGTTTGCACTTCGCTAGAACTTTTTTCTATGTAGATTTGCTCATGAATATGCTACGTTGTTCTGGGTCTGAGTATGAGTTGGAATACTATCAGTCACTGGAATGCAGATATTTCCAACTGACGAGTTCCAAATGAGACGAACCATGCGTACTGAATTCTAGCACTAGCTAAAACCAAGCAGATAACTTCTTGGTGAAGTTGACTAAATAATCATTGGTTTCGAATAATTTATGACTTTCTCTAAAACCTGAACTTAGTAATGATCAACTAGGCTTACGAACTGATCATATTTTGTATCTTTTAGCAAATGGTCTCATCTTATGAAATGAAACCTAACGAAATGTACCATTGAATAACATTAGTGGTGTACCCGGACAAATTCAGCTCAACTCAGTTCAGCTCAGGGAGAGAGAGAGAGAGAGAGAGCCGAATTGTTCAGGTTAAGGGAAATTCGACCAGGTGGTTTCTAATGGACAGCACGGTTTGGCAGTTGAAAAATAATTTAAAGATTTAACATAAACGTTTTCGTATACTGGATCATGCACATCAGTTAATTAAACACAGTTGGTCTGAACAAATCAGTTCTGAATTAAATGAGCTTGGCTCCAAATGTTCGGAACATATGTCTGCGGTCAAGATCACTCTTATCTGGCAGATCAATGTGAGTGACCGCACTCTGTGATCTTTGCTAGGTGGTTTCCAAAGGAAACTTTGATAACACTACAATTGGGTAGTTGGGAGACTATGTATCTGCGAAAAAATGTCAATATTAAGCGTGAAATTCGTAAGAAATTTACGAATCGTCTATTCAAATGTAGTCGCTACTCATATACGCTGAATATAACTGAAAGTAGTATGAGTACAAATGATTCAACTGAAGAGTTACAATTGATGAGGAGTAAGGTTCAAGGTCACATGATAGTCAGTGACTTCTTACTAATGTATGCAAAGCTACTTGGTTGTCTATTATCTTACAAACATTTCAAATGAGATGATCTATGCATCCGTAAATGAAGCTGAAGTACAATGAGACACGTTAGGATTTCTTGTTTATCCTTCAGTGCTTCGAAGCACACTAATTTATTAGAGTACACGTAACGTGATGGCAGATTGTTCAGACTGTTATACAAAGGCGGGATAGACACTTATTTGAAAGGTTAACAAAGTCAGTTGTTATAAATTATCTGAACCGTGTAATATATTTGCGCAACACATTTCGAACTATCTGAACACATACGTGCTTGTCATAGGTATTTATATGAAAACTCATGAAGATAAGGGGGTGAGAAACTGAGAAGAGGTCAAGTGGGAAGACTGAATTAACCGCTAAATAACAATGAAAATCAATAGACCGAAAATAATTGTACATCAAACTTGATTTTCATAGTTGAATTTACCAAGCGAGATTAAATGTGATAAATTGTTTATGAACAGTTTGTCCCAAAGAAAGATGTCTTTATCAGTCTTCCGTACAAAAGTGACTCTTATAGTGCATTCCTTAAACAAAGACTTAACGCTGCTGTTAGAAGGACTGACTATGCAGACACTGTTCGATTAATAGAAATCACCAAGCCTGTATATTCTCACAAACCCTACAGCATATGAACGGCAGTGTCATATCCATTGCTTTTACCAATTCAAAAGTTCTTGTGATGACACTTACATAGAGAGGACTCACGGATCCATGCAAGTAACGGGCGTGGAACATATTCCAAAGTGGTTTCAGGAGAAAATTCACCTGAACCCATAAACGTTGGTAGCAGACGTCCAAGTTCTTCGATCGTGGAACATATCGTTGAGACTGGTCATAGGATTGACGCTGCTACTTCCTTTAGACCTATTTACAAAACGTGTTGGAGATGGATTCTTAAATTTGTTAAGGCTTTAGCTATTAGGTAGTTCAAACCATCTTTATGTGTTCATAAACAATTTGTTATCACACTAAATCTCCCTTGGTAAATTCAACTATGAATACTAAGTTCGATGTACTATTATTTTCTCTCCATTGATTTCCACTGTTATTCGGCCTTTAATTCAACCTTCCTACTCGACCTCTTTTCATTTATACTGGGTGATGATTGAAGATGAAATGAAATTTGGACCGTGGCCGGATTCGAACTAAAGACGACCGGGTTTCCAGCTCGATTCTCTACCAACTGAGCTATAAGGTCTTTTCATTTTCTCACTACTTATCTTCAGATATTTCAAAATATGTTGTACATATACATTACACATTTCAGACAATTTACGTCTATTTATTGTTTGTTAAAGTTCATAAAGGGAACTGTTTTAAAAGTCAGTTGTATAATATTTGCGTAAATTAATTTCTTTTGTTTGTGTATTAATTTAGCGCAACAATTATAGTCCAATTCATTCTACCCAGCGTATCCGTATGCCTCAATCAATTAATGAAACAAACTCACATATACCTTCAGGTATTTCGACAACACCTAATATACCTATCACCATTGATTCTGCAAGTATGGTGAGCAGTGATAACAGTGGAACACTTACGCATATCACATGTACTATCAATTCTGATCAACCTGTCGGTTCAAGTATCAATTCTAGTACAACTACGTCATTAATAGTTGGAAATGTTATTCATTCTTCTCTTTCTCCTTCGAATTCAACTGCATTTCGTGGAAGTAAACGTAACAAAGTGGCATTTTTCAATATATTTGACATTGCATCACCAGCATCTAGTAGTAGTGGTAGTAGTACTTCAACCTCGAATACTACTGCAGTACTTTCAAAAAATAACACTCAACGACCTTCAAATCAATTAGATAATTCAATTAATATTGACTCAGTTGGTATGTTTTGTTGTTAAGTAACTTTTCTTTCTTGTGATTTTGCATAGTTAAATCTATATTTTTCTTAATAGAAAAATGGGTTAATAGGTCATGAACTGCAAATCATTGTAGGTTACTGATGTAAAAATTGCGAAGGTCCAAATAACTGTTTCGTTTCAATTGTTATTTATTGATACTTGTAATTCCCTGTTGGTATACTGGACCGTATTGATCGACTGACTGTTGAGAGATGGACTCGAAGCAGTCTAGCAACAGGAAATTGCAAGCATCAATGAACAATGACTGATACATGTTGCACAGGAGTTGGATGTCATGCTTCATTGGCCTACTGGATAAAGCTTTCTCATTTAAAGCGAGGGTTTTTAGGTTTGAGTCTTAGTAAGAACAACATTGTCACTCACCAGGATGCATGACATCCAGCTGATGAGTCCTAAGTAGAGAGTAACGCGTGTTCTGGATTCCACTGCTAGCCGCTAAATAGACTGCGATGTTTCGTTTCAGTTTGCACCTCCCTAGAGAGACAGGGGGGAGAGTCTTATGGAGCTGGTGAATCAAAAAATTTCAGTTCATTCTGACGAATAGTTTTATTATTCTTGAAATAATTGATAGATTACTGGTCAACAACACACAACCATATGCAATGGATGGGTTAACCAGCAGACCGTCAGTATGGCTTTGTATTCACTCCTGGCTCGGTTAGTCTCATACTGTGACTTCTGAGGTATTAGGAGGCAGTAGATAACATAAGTTTTTAGCAGTGAACCAATTTTCAGTATCATTACAGATAAAGTTATCACCAATGTAGTTACTCCATACAGTGTGTTATACATTAGCATGTAATTTACTTGGTGATGGTTAACACTGGAATCATTATGCTCATGTTTTGTTCTTTTTGGGACTCGTCAGTTAAACCTACTTGCATCTCGGTGGGTGAGGATTTTCTCCCACTAGGATTCAAACCCAGCAGCCATTACTTCAAACGCTAGAACCTTATCCACTAGGTTACTAACCCAAAAGATTTAACAGTTGTATGTTTAGTTCTACGTTGTGTATTTTAGTCAGTTTGTTATCATCAATTGTTGTTTTGATACAAGCTTAATATGATGCAGACTCTAAGAAATGAATGCTACAGAAAGACAAAGACCGATGAACTCAAGACAGAACTTCACATACAGGTGTGTCGGCTTAAGTTACTACACTTCACAAGCTTTAGAATATGTCAAGGAGTGAATACATCTGCGCCATTGTGACCGATTTTCAGCCATTTCATCAAGAGTTAGTTCCCAACCACTGATTTCTTTCTTCTTGGGGATCTCACTTCAATCAGGAAGTCTACATTTCCCCACACGGGGACTTCATCGACTGATACCAAGTGTTGATCTTGCCAAACTGAACCCTTTTCTTACCTAATCCAACTTCCCCTAGGATGGCACGTTAAGGTAGGTAGTGGTTCGGCATACCCAGTACATCCCGGATGAATGCTACAAAATAATGTGATAATATTTAAAAAAAAACCTAAAAGGAGGGAGATAATGAAATACAGCACAGTCAGGAAAAAGGGAGCATTCGCAAAAATTATATTCAAAAAGCTTGTGGTACCATTCAGACATAAAAGAAGAATCGAAGACTGTAGTGTTATTTCCATTGCTTTCAATTCTAAGTTATATCAAGTCACTACAGCTTCACACATACTATCGTGATGCAGTAAAAAAAGTACTAATGTCACACAGCTTTCCATCATTGCACAATACCAAATCATAAACTAGCTAACTTTTCACTTCTTTCCAGTAGTTATGTAAATCGATACAGTGAATATTTTGAAAAGGGTGTTCCAATGAAACTAAGGTATCATTAAACTCCCTTTTCCTAAGAAACTTGAGCATTGAAATGAATTGTTTCAAACAAGTTAACAATTTCTGTCAATCAACTTCAGTCTTTTTATTGGCTTAATGGTTCTTATACAAGTTTATTGTATAGTTCCAGCAAGCAGTTGTAAGTGGAATTGAGTAGTTCACTTTTAATTTCAAAATTTTACTGTTACAGAAAGTTGTAATATTGTGTATATCATAGATTCACTAGGAGCTTATAACTTTTACGATCAAAATGTAATCAGGTTAAACTTTTTATATTATGGGTACTCATAATTACCGCGTTAATTTCACGTTTATATAAAGTGGTAAGGTGAGCTATATTAACCGTTGATGAAAGATAGATGTGCAGATCGATAAGAATTTGGTGTGTTGAATCAACTCATTCTGATTTGGACTGGTTTTGATATCGATCAGTTGAGCTATTATTATAGTCGCGGTGTATCACGTTGGAAACTGTGAACCACTGAAAATCGACCTAGTGGTTCAATGATGTTATATCTTCGAACGCCAACGGTTATATATTCCGAACGAATATAATACGCACGCTTAACTGACACCTAACTTACTACGCAAGAGTCACTGACTGCACCCCAGGATGAATAGAGAGAAGACCGATGCTGGATGATGGGAGAGTTTATTCCTCCGAGAAGATAATGATAATAAATCAATCCCAAAACACGTGAATATGTACACACATGAATATGACCTTGTCCGCGATTTGAGACATTGGCATAGTAAGAGTAAAGATTAACCAATCAGCGAGTTACATTAAATGGGGGCAGAAAACAAACTACTAGTCACACCGTAAAAAATGGCCTGAGAATGCCAAGTTAAAAGCGTTCAGATCAATAACAATGTTTTATGCAAAACTGGGGCCTTACAACACCAATAAGGGAGACTCCGTCTACGTACGAGATCACAGATGAGGATATGGAATGTGGACGGAAGGTGTTATCATGAGAAGACGTGGGAGTGTGATGTACAAAATAATGGTGGGTCACGAGAAATGGGAGAGATAAGAATCAGATGCGTCACAGAAAAGCCAATCAACCAGTGAATCCAACCGTACCACTCTATATTCTACTGGATACGTTTAACTTACCAAGAACGATGGGAAAACCTGAAACCAATATCGACAAGGAGCCTCAACCCAAAAGATGTACGGATCGGAAGCGGTCTCAAACAGTTCGTTTCCAACTGGATCCCAAAAAGCGAAGGTATTAATTTTTTCAGAAAAGGGAGGTGTTGTAAGACCCGAGTTTTGCATAAAACATTGTTATTGATCTGAACGCTTTTAACTTGGCATTCTCAGGCCATTTTTTACGGTGTGACTAGTAGTTTGTTTTCTGCCCCCATTTAATGTAACTCGCTGATTGGTTAATCTTTACTCTTACTATGCCAATGTCTCAAATCGCGGACAAGGTCATATTCATGTGTGTACATATTCACGTGTTTTGGGATTGATTTATTATCATTATCTTCTCGGAGGAATAAACTCTCCCATCATCCAGCATCGGTCTTCTCTCTATTCATCCTGGGGTGCAGTCAGTGACTCTTGCGTAGTAAGTTAGGTGTCAGTTAAGCGTGCGTATTATATTCGTTCGGAATATATAACAAATGGTTAACGGGTTCGTCATGAAACCTGAGGTAGTATTCATCACGGACTGACATCAGTTACGGAAACGTTGAAAGACTGGGAGCACTAGACAGCTGCTTCATTGCTGTATAGGACTCCTCGGCAGTACGCATCCATGACACGGCTTTCAGGTGGATATCATAAAGAACTAATGAGAAGCTATTATCTGTGGGGTCAACCAGTTGGAAGGGAAGCGGATGCCAACTGAAGACCTTAGACGATAGTCGCACTATGTCATGCATTGACGGAAGTTGGAAACTGTGAACCATTAGGTTCCGATCCAGTGTCTGATTGGTTAACGGGCCCGTCGTGACATCTGAAGGTCCTGAGTTCGACCCCTAGCCGGGTCGTGGATGAGTTCTGCTGGGGAGTCCCACAATAAGGTGAAAGGGGCTGTGCAGTGCTTCCAGGTTCTCAGTGGTTCCCTAACTGATGTCAGTCCGCGACGAATGCTACCTCTAAATTAAAATCCACATTCATTTCAAAAATACATTGCTGTATAGTACTCATTAGTGATATGCTTCCAGATGAATATCCCTAAGTTCTAATGGGAAGCTGTGGCATGTGGTGGGGTCAACTAATTGGAAGGGAAGCGGATGCCAACCAAAAACGTTGGGTGGTGATCGCACTATATCGTGAATTGACAGAAGTTGGAAACTGCGAACCACTGGATCTCGACCCAGTGGCTGAATGGTTAGCGCGTTCGCCTTGAAACCTTGAGGTCTTGAGTTCGCTCCTTAGCCGGGTCGTGGGTGCGTACTTCTGAGGTGTCCCATGCTGGGACGAAACAGCCGTTCAGTGTTCCCGGGTTCTCAAAGGTTCCCTAACTGATGTCAGTCCGTAATGAATACTACCTCTAAATTAAAATCCCCATTCATCTCAAAAATATATTATTATATTTGTTTTCTTGCTTTAGATCCCGCTACAACAGTTCAGCTATGTCCTTTTTCATCAGTGACATCAACAGGCGTAAGCAGCGGAGTGACAGCGGAACCAGCTATAGGGAATTCGAATTCATCCAATAATATTATAGATCTTACGCTTACAGATAATGATGGACCGTCGATTTCATCATCATCAACATCATCTACTGTTACTGCTTCTATCAATCCACCTTTAATTGAAGACTGTTGTTCAAAAGATAACTTGTCAAATACACGGATGAATTCCACTTATATGTCTACTGTCACAACACCATCATCGTCAATACAAATAGCTCCTGTTTCTGCTGGTACCAATATCGTGATAAATTCAAAGCAAGACACTTCTAGTATGAACAATAGTGCACGTCTATTGGCGGCAAGTTTAGTGGCTGATTTAGTTTGTCGTATCTGTGGACGTCTATCACAACAACCACAACTAGAAATGGATAAAAAGACAATGAATGCTAATGTACTAGTTGAATGCATCAAATGCGGCTCCTTGTATCATCAGCTGTGTCATCAGCCAGTGATTTTAATGTCGATGCCAAAACAACAATGGATGTGTATGCATTGTTCTACTACTACTGCTACTACTACTTCTGCTGATTTATCATTATCATCTCCAGTTCCTGTGGTCACACTGACAGTGTCATCCGATTCTTCGTGTAGTATAACAACAGATCCTGTGATATCATCAAATCTTATTCGATCTCATAGTATTTTGTCGTCAGATGTAACGATTGTTGGAAGTATTCCAGGTGATAATAACTTAATATCTAGTGGTTCTTCTTCTTATTCAATACATCAACAATCTTTAATATTATCTGATCCTGTTCAGTTCTCCTCATCGTCAGCATCTTCTGTGTCTACTACACTTACTGTTACTGCTACTACTACTGCTACTACGACTACTACTAATGCCTCTACTACTTCTAATACTCCTACTCAGGCAACAACTACAATAACTGTTGGTGCACGTAAACGTAAACCTGCATTCACTAGTCCATTATCTGGTATACCGCGTAAACTAAAAGATGAGCATAATTGAATTCGTCTTCGGCGTTTTTTTTGTTTGATTCATTAATTTATGTTTTTTTTCCAGATGACATATCAATTACAGAATGAGTAGATGAAAAAGTATACTTTGATGAAAACTTATGAAATAGGATGGAAGAGCTGTTAAGTGCACGTCAGTTTTTAGCAGATTTCAGCTCGGCGTTATAATTTCGAAAATGATTCATCATCTCTTCATCCTTGTACTTCTACTAGTTGCGTTGTTCTAAGCCATATTAAAAATTATGCTTCTGACACTTCAGACACAAGTGTATCGGCTCAAGTTGTAGTATACAAAGAAAAAAGTGAGTAGAATAAGATTTATACCAAGTAGACAAAGTTGTGTGAAAGAATAAAGAATCTGAAGATAAAGGTTGGTGCAAATATTTTAGTTTTAGAAGACATTAATGAGTGAATAGATCTGCACGACTGTGACTGATTTTCGGCCGTCACCAAGAGTCAGTCCTCAACCACTGATACCTTTCGTTTTGGCTACTCCAGCCCGGCAGTCTACATCTCCTCATACCACTCAAACCAATAGTCGAGAACTTCATGGACTGGTGCGACTTCTTGGTCTGGCCCCCGTGAACCCTCTTTCAACCCGATCCAACTTTCCCTTGGGTGGGACGTCATGGTAGGCGGTGGCTTGGCATGCGAAGCGTATGACCAAGCCACTTCACTCGATGAAAGTTTACAACCCCGTCAATCGATTTGCCTATCTTGCCTCGTACCTTTAGTCTGACCTTAACATTGCTCACACGGTGATTCCACCAAACGCGAGCAATGGTACGAAAGCACCTATGATCGAAACCCTTCGACTACTTCATGTCTTGTACTTTCAACGGCCATATCTCACAGCTGTATAACAGAACAGAAGAAACCGAAGCGGCGCAGTATCTTCGCCTCTTGATAGATAGTCGCGTATCTGGCAAGTCGGTGCCAGAGATGACGCAAGTTGGCAAATGCCAAATGGACCTTCTATATCCGAGCTGAGGTTTCATCAGCAACGAGCCCGTTCAGAATGATGCGACACACTCCACCACTGGGAGTACTTGCAGCAGACCAGCCCTAGAGCATCACCTTACATTTGACAGCTGACAGCGAAATGCATGCCAAACATAAACGGATTTCTGCTCAACACCTCTAGAAGACCCTACACTTTTTCAGCTTTTTTACCTAGTAGGAAAATATCGTCTGCATACTCCACATTAATCAGATGTCCTCCAGTGAGTAGATCAATCTCTGTGAAGTCTCAGATACCTAAGGTTATGTCCATTAGTTCGTCTATAACGAAGTTAACTAGAAACAGTGACAGTGGACATCCCTCGCGGATACCACTAATTGTTGTCAATTCTGATGACAACCCTCGGTAAGCCCTGACACGGTTGCGTGAGTTCGAGTAGACAGCTTTGATTAGCGCTATATACTTTCCCAATACTCCCTTCATGGTCGACTGAGTCAAATGTCTCGTTTAGGCGTATCAGCCACCGGTGAGTATGCCTCTTTCCCAGAACCTGTCGAAGAGTGGAAATCAGTTCAACATCATCTAGGTCTGAAACCAATACAGCGAGAAGGTAGCAGCTGCATAGACCTCTTTATTCAATAAATAATGTTTTACCAAATTTTTGAGGAAATATACAAGGGCCAAAGTAGGTAGGTGGTGACCTAATCCACCTATCGTAGATAAGCATAACTTATGCATAGAATAAAGTTGGATGACTTTTGCCTAACGAAAAGCCTTTATCTGGCTTTAAAAAAACTGAATGTCTGGAAATAATGACTACAGTGTCAGTACGAATAGATATGTATTTTGAATGACTCCAAAAGCTATCTAAACAACTAGTGAGATAACTAATTGCTTTTCTTTATTGCGTAAAAACTGTCTTTCCAGCCGAAACAAAGAGACCTAATTGGTTATTTCGTTCGCTGGTACGTTTGCCTTCGGTGTCATACTGGATTAGCAATCACTTATTGAAACAAGGCGATTTGATTCGTCTGACTAGTCTTACGTTGAAGTAGTCAAGCACATGCTGTTGAGACAATCCTCCAGTGATCTGGATGCTTCGATTTCATTCATGAGTATTTTGGTAATTGTGTTACTTGTGCGTTAAAAATTAGTATCCAATAAATTATTAGCAATGAGCGTTAGGCTACTGCTTTCTACTTTATGGCAGCTCTCGGACCAAATAATATCTAGGGTCATTGCCTAACTGTACTTGAACAACTGTGATGCTTCAGTAATTTTATGCCCTCACGTTCGCCTTTTTGGACATTGCTTCGTTGTGAGATACGACTGGTGTGTGTGTGTCTGGGAGCTAGTCACATTTGAACTACCGTGATAAGAACAAACATTGTGCATTCTCTAGATGGAAACCGTCAGTTTATACTAATCTTATAGCCTTTTTCACGCTAACGCATTGGGAACATATTTTATAGTGCACAGAAGATTGAACTAAAATAAACAGTCTAAATCAAACAGTTTTCTCGAATTACTAACTCCTGGTTTTCTACTTAAGTTGGATTCATGAAACAGATTCAGTGTACTGTTCTTCATTTTCCTTATCAGTCTTTATAGTTATCTTAGCATCAAAGTATGAAAGGCACTCATCGACTATAGATTTACTCCGTATTTTGTTTTTGAAAGCAGAAGGTGTACTCTCTAGTTAACCAGGAGTCTGAGGATAAGATTAGTGATTTTGACACTATATATCAACGGCTTGTAACTAAGATTTAATAAGGTTTTCTTTGAATGAAACACTTAACTTCATTTCGTTTGCTGAAATTGATGTAAAGAATTTAGGCTGACAAAGCCACTGGTTTTTTTTCTGTCAGAAAATTTAGTTGTCAGAATTGATAAACCTCATCCTGTCTACTATGAGGCAGCTTTGTAAGCGATAATATTATAATTCTGTTATACTATAAGTGTCATCTTTTTTCATACTTTTAACATATTGTTGTTGTATCTGAAACATATGTGGACAAAATTACTGGAGTCTTGTCTCTATATAACTGTCTACTAGGCCATATAACTGAATTCGACACTTAGTTCACATCGTTAATACCGTTGACGTCTTATGTATGAATAGTGAGTATTCGCAGAGCCTAAATATATGGATATCGAACTCATGATCAACTTACTTTTCGTATGTATTCAGTAATAGTCACTCATGATTTTATTTATTTCAAGCTCTAATGGATTACAGCATGGGCATAAAGAAATGCATCACATAAAATAGGGTCATAACATTATAAAGAACCAGTTAAGATATTGACTACAGTGAAGGAAACAGTGGCAAAAGAGGTAACTGATTTGTCAAAATAGCGGATTCATAAGATGATAAATTTATTACTCTCTTATAAATAACAAGAAATCCTCGTTTGGTCATTGGAAAACGAAAGGAGATTATAGCGAAGGTAACTATCTTTTTGGTACTGGATGATTCAAGGTACAATAAAAATCTGGATCATGGCAAGATCAATCAATCATCATGCAGTATCAATAATACTGGTCGACCAAACTACAGCTGTCTCAGGTTGTCAAACTGATAGTTTTACCTGGAGGTTTATTAATTGATTTTAGGTTAGAATTCATCATAGACTGATATTGGAAACCTGGAAGCACTGGACACCTGTTTTATCCTAGCATAGGACTCTTTAGCAGTGCTCACCCATGACTCCATCCCGCCAGGGATCGAACCCAGGCCCTCCAGGTCCCGTGGCCAGCACGTTACCATTCAGCTACTGGGTCGGAATCCGATGGTCCACATTTCCTGCTCCTGTCACTTCACGATATAGCGCAACCTACATCTAATGTCGTCGGTGAGTAACTGTCTACATGTTCGATTAGGCTGACTCCACTGGTCTCGACTTCTCATTGGAACTTCAGGAATCACCTCTCTAAACTAACCACCAATCAGCGCTAGATTAACTCTATCTGGAAGTTTGTGGGGATTTATTTATTGATTTCAGGTCGGTATTTATGGGTGCTCACTCCTGAGGAGTCCCATACTAGGACGGAGCAGCTGCCCGTTACCTCCAAGTTTCCAATGTTCCTCCGACTGCTGTCAGTCCATGATGGATATTCCAACCCAAAAACTGATAATTATCTTTTTGATGACTCATCCGCATAGTTGTACATTCATGAACATACAAGGCAAATGATAAAATGTTTTAGACAAGTCTCCGGTCGAAGGTTAAACCTAATCGATAGATGTATAAATGAAATGATAGTACGTAACACAAGAAATGGTTTCATTATTTTCTATAAAATGCACCTAACAGTTAGATTTGGTATCTGGTCGAAATAAATCGATAAATAATATGCAAAGAATAAAACATAAAAAGAGGTACAGAGTGCCTGTTTAGGGCCACCGTAAACAGTGTTTGTACATACATTGATTGATCATTGAGGGTAACCAACTTCATGTTGTCTAGTCCTAAGTGCCGATCGAATTCTGTCTATCATTTTCCAATATGGTCACCAGACTAGGCAGCTTAGCATCGTGGTGGAGTTTGATGGATGTTAGTTGGATGGAGGCGGTCTGCAAGAGGCCCTGAACTTAGGTTTCGCACTTGCAGGCACTCGTCAGCAAGGTGCATCTGCAACCCCGACGAAACTGATGTCCCACTTGAGATTCGAACCCACGTCACCTCGTGTTGTAGTTAGCAACATCACCACTGAGCTACTCAGGTCGCCACTGACCTCCTGGAAGACTGACGGGTACCAACAAACCCGAAACATAGATTCAGGGTTTCCTGCTGATTGCCTTCATTCAGCTAACATCTATCAGTGTTTGTACAAGCTTCTTTTGAATTAACAATCGAGGATTGAAGCTGTGAGCTGCCAAAACTTTAGCTGTACGTAAGTGTCTACTGACCACCCGTTGAGTACGGTTTTTTGAACTTTGAACAAGGTCTCTGTGGTGTCACCACGTAAGTAACATAGAATTCAGGTGTAGAGTTTTAGGGAGAAGAGGTAAACCAGTTGACGAAGTT